TAGAATATTGAAAATCTCTTTTGGCGCGTAACCACAGCGGTGCAACGCGATAATCGCTACTCTATCTTCTTTCTTCGACCACTCCATATTTGAAAATGAATGAAAATGAATGATTTTTTTATTTTCGGCAAGTGCAAATGTAAAATTTTTGAAATTGGTGAAGTTCATCTAGCCAGTATTCAAAAATTTTAAGTTTTTTTTTAGTTTTGACGGAACTTATGACCCGACTTAGTATTTCAATGAAAATCTTCACTTCTTCAATTAAAGTTGGATACCGTTCTATTAAACAACAGGCCCGATATTGTAATATCATTTTGAAATCGGTATTAAGTAGGCAAATTTTTAAATGAATGGGCACTAATAGTGTAGTACATTTTTTTTACAAAAAGCGCACTTGAATTTGCTTGATTTGTAAAAAGTTAGGGTTACAATAGAGACGAAATTATGTTTTTGTTCAAAAGCTCTAAATTTACATGAAAAACAATCTTTTCTCAATATAGCATATCATCGTCACCATCATCATCATCACAGCCCTTCACAAGTCCACTGCTGAACATAGGCCTCCCCCAAGTAATGCCACAAAGCACGGTCCTGAGCCACCTGCATCCATCGACTTCCTGCATATCTTACCAGGTCGTCACTCCATCTAGTGGGGGGTCGCCCTACACAACGCCTACCGGTACGAGGCTGCCACTCGAGAACCTTTCTTCCCCATCGGTTATCGGTTCTTCGAGCTATATGGCCGGCCCATTGCCACTTCAGCTTACTAATCCGTTGGGCTATGTCGGTCACTCTGGTTTTTACTGCGGATATCCTCATTTCTGAGTCTATCACGCAGAGAAACTCCGAGCATAGCCCTCTCCATAGCTCGCTGAGCGACCTTGAGCGTCCTCATACGGCCAGCAGTGAAGGACCACGTCTCAGATCCGTAAGTCATCACTGGCAACACGCACTGGTTGTACACTTTAGTTTTCAGAGATTGAGGTATACCCGGCGGCCCCGCTATTCCTGGCTACAGTGGCGACCATGGTAACGGCGGGGCAGGGGGTGCTAAGAATCTCCGGTGGAGGTTCGGTTGCCACCTACGACGACTCGACCTGGCAACATTTAACGCACGCACACTGAGGACTGACGAGAAGATCCTGGAGCTGGAAAAAGAGATAGACAAGTTGCGCTGGGGTATTATAGGATTATCCGAGGTTCGAAGAGAGGGGGAGGACACGGTGATTCTCGAATCCGGCAACTTGTTCTATCACCGGGAGGGCGACCATCTGTCCCAAGGAGGTGTCGGATTTATCGTCCACAAGTCTCTCGTCAACAACGTTGTAAAGATTGGGAGTGTGTCGACGAGGGTCGCGTACCTGATACTCAGAATCACCAAACGGTATTCGCTGAAGGTCATACAGGTTTACGCACCAACCTCGGCACATTCCGATGAGGAGGTGGAGTAAATGTATAAGGATATTTCCAAAGGCATGCATTCCTCCAAAACCCACTACACGGTGTTGATGGGAGACTTCAACGCAAAACTAGGCACAAAAGAAAACGGTGAGCTGAAGTTAGGGAAATTTGGAGTAGGGCAACGGAACCGAAGGGGCCAGCAGCTGGCCGACTTAATGGAGAAAGAGGGACTCTTTATGATGAACTCTTTCTTCCAGAAGCGGCCCCACAGGAAGTGGACCTGGTCGAGCCCCGACGGTTCGACAAAAAATGAGATTGACTTCATTATGACGACCAGACGCCAACTGTTCAGTGATGTCTCAGTGATCGCAAGGGTGAAAACTGGCAGCGATCACCGAATGGTTAGAGGCACACTGAACCTAAACGTTAAGTTGGAGAGGTCTCGTCTAATGAAGTCAACGCTCCGTCCCCCTCGTGCTCTAATTCAAAATCCCGAAAACTTTCAGCTCGAGTTACATAACCGCTTTCAGTGCCTACAAGATTGCAATGCAGTGGACGATGTGAATGACAAGCTCGTGGAAACTGTCCATGCGGTCGGAGCTAAGTTCTGCAAGACCCGCCGCAGAAGAACACAAAAACTCTCCAATCACACTCTTAATCTCATGGCTGTTAGACGGGAGATGAGGCTGCAATCGTCAACAGATTTGACAGCATACAGGCAACTGAACAGACAGATCTCCAAATGCATGCGGCGAGACTTACGCAACTTTAATACTGCTCATATTAAAGAAGCGATCGAGCGGAACCAGGGCTCCAAAGTCTTTGCCAGAGATCTGTCTGCCCGTAAGAGCCAACTGTCAAGGCTGAAGACTGAGTGTGGCAGCATCGTTTCCGGGACACCTGAGATTTTGAGTGAGATTGAGAGGTTCTATGGGCAGCCGTACACATCATCGTTGGAGCCACACGCAAGTGTGAGTAACGATCCAAGAGCAAGTCTTATCCGACACTATTCCGATGATATCCCGGACGTCAGTCTAAGCGAGATTTGGCTCTCCAGCACCTTAAAAACGGCAGGGCCCCAGGCGAGGATGGAATTACAGCGGAGCTTCTGAAAGCGGGTGGAACACCGGTACTTGAAGTCCTTCAGAATCTCTTCAATTCCGTCCTCCATGGTGGCACTACTCCAGAGGCGGTGGAGCAGAAGTGCGGTGGTCTTGTTCTTTAAGAAAGGCGACAACGCTCTCTTGAAGAACTACAGACCGATTTCCCTTCTGAGCCGCGTCTACGTGCTGTTTTCGAGAGTCATTACGAATCGTCTCGCACGCAGACTCGACGACTTCCGGCCTCCCGAACAAGCCGGTTTCCGAAAAGGCTTCAGTACCATAGACCACATACATACCCTGCGGCAGATTGTACAGAAGACTGAAGAGTACAATTTGCCACTTTGCCTGGCGTATGTGGACTATGAGAAAGCCTTTGATTCCGTCGAAATTTGGGCGGTGCTGCAGTCCCTTCAGCGGTGCCAAGTTGACTGTCGGTATATCGAAGTGCTGAAGTGTTTGTACAGTAGGGCTACGATGGCTATCCGAGTACAGAACCAGAGCTCGAAACCTATCCAACTGCAGAGGTGTAAGACAGGGTGACGTTATATCCCCGAAACTCTTCACCGCTGCTTTGGAAGACGTTTTCAAGCTACTGGACTGGAAAGGATACGGTATTAACATCAATGGCGAGTACATCACTCACCTTCGATTTGCCGACGATATAGTCCTTATGGCAGAATCGCTGGAGGACTTAAGCACTATGCTCAATGACCTCAATAGTGCCTCCCAACGGATAGGTCTTAAGATGAACATGGACAAAACAAAGATCATGTTTAATGTCCATGTCACACATATGTCGGTAGTTGTTGGGAGCACTATGCTCGAAGTTGTTGACAAATAGTCCGACTAGGTAAGTCCAACTTCGACCGAGAGGTCAATCGACGGATTCAACTCGGCTGGGCAGCGTTCGGGAAATTACGACACATCTTCTCGTCAGGTATACCTCAATCTCTGAAAACTATAGCATATAATCTGCAGTAATTAACAGAAATCAAAATTTGGAAAATAATAGCTTTTGACGTGGTGTTATAATTAGTCTAGTTTTTCATGAAACTTCGCCAAAAATGGTAATAAAAGACAGCAAATTCGTAAAAAAAAAATACATAAAAAGACTGGAACTTTTGGATAAAATTAACCATTTTTGTCCAGCCAAAATTATATGTTTTAGTATATTGTCTGTTTTATCGAATTCTTAACAGTGGATCACTATTTATATCACATATATTAATCCAATTAATATAAAATATAACTAATAAATAGTTCAGAAAGAAACATTAACCCTTTCCTTTTTTCTAACAAATTTACTTCTCCACTATGTCACTCGTGAAATATTAGCTGCGTTTGGCAGAAAAAAGCGCTAGCAAGCGCTTGTAAACAAAATGGCGATCGTAAGCGGTAAGCGCTGTCAAATCGTAAGTAGCTATTTTCCTCTAGGACACGAAGTTAGTTTTAACCGGGGAACCTAATCTAATTTAAATATATGTTTGTAAAGTATTCATATTAAAAACTTACCAATCATCATGTATAATATGTTTATTCATGTCATTATATTACTTGAAACTAATATTGCACAAAACAACTTATAAACTCTACTTCAAAACAAACAAAGTAAATAAGCAAAATGGCGGATTGTGTCAGCGCTACTGAAGTTAGCAAACGTGTCCTGGCCGAAAACGCTTCCTAGCGCTTTTTCTGCCAAACGCAGCCATTATATTTCACTTAATTCCCAAGTGGCACCGCCCTGGTGGCAAAAAAGTCGTAGATGGCCTCAAAGTCAAATATGATATGACCGATATCGTAGTAGAAGATACTACCACCAATGATTAGTTCATTATCATCATCATCATTACAGCCCTTCACAAGTCCACTGCTGAACATAGGCCTCCCCCAAGGTATGCCACAAAGCACGATCCTGAGCCACCTGCATCCATCGACTTCCTGCATGTCTTACCAGGTTGTCACTCCATCTAGTGGGGGGTCGCCCTACACTTCGCCTACCGGTACGAGGCTGCCACTCGAGAACCCCAACGGTTGTCGGTTCTTCGAGCTATATGGCCGGCCCATTGCCACTTCAGCTTACTAATCCGTTGGGCTATGTCGGTCACTCTGGTTCTACTGCGGATATCCTCCTCAAATTATTAGTTGTGTTATTATTATTACATGTTATAGTATATTACGGTTGTAGCACGAATGGGTCGGCTCGACGGGGGGATGGACCACGCTCTCACAGAATACCATTTTCAAGTAGTAGCTCAAAGCTGCTGCTTTACTTTCAAAGCTGGTGAGTGTAGAGAACCAGAGATCCTTTTGACTGGATACGAGGCATTCCATCTTAGTCCTCAGGGGTGACAACGCAAGTGCACATTAGAGTCCTCATCGAGGATAAATGTAGATGTTTATGGGCCACAGCATCCACTTACTATAAGGCGGACTGTGTGCTCGTCACGCTTATTCTATAAAAATAGTCCCAATAATATAAATAAATTAATAACTCACTCGCTATCTTCATTCGTAATCACATTCCCGTGAAGAAACAAATCGCTTCTGATTGTGTATATGTTGTTTTCCGAACTTTCCGATTGCTCCACCTAAGCATAGAAAAAAAACCCGATCATTAGTAATATTAACCATTTTTAACATTAATGACTTAAACTTTCGTTAAGTAAATGGACTTTATCGTAAACGGCTTTATGGCAATTAATTAGAGAAGTTTTGGCGGGAGTTTGACTACCGGCGGATTGTTCTATAACAGGTGCTGCTGCTACGTTAAATAATAATTTAGAGCAGATTTTGATAAATAAAACCAGTGCGTCGTCCTGCGTTAAACGTGCACGTATACTATCGGTAAAATGACGTAATAAGTTTTTCGATGGTGATACAAATCTCAGAATATTATCTCCGTCGGAGCCTTGAGATATTAACATAATGAACTATCCGATGGATTAAGCTGTCGTGATAATCTTCCAAGAACTTCGGAGTGTGACGCATCATCATATTTTGTATAGTTTTGTAAACAAAATACAGATCAGGCTAGCCTGTATGGTCTAAGACCTTTTCCTGCCTTAATTTGCGAATCGTAACAACAAAAATGTTAATGTTATATAAATTGTATCTTTGTTTTAAGTCAAAAACGGACGCTCCTACAACAGCTGTTTATCTTACATATTATATTTTCGTATTCGTAAGAAAAGTAAAGGTAATTTATTTTACGCCGACTTTTAAAACAAAGAATTTCACAATTCGACTGTTTTTTAATGTATATTACGCGATATCTTTATCATTGTAAAATTTTTTTAAAAGTTGGTTATATTTTAGGAGTGGCCCTATATTAATTTGTACAAAAACTTTCATCCTTAAGGGTGACAAAATACAGGGGACGAAGTTTTAACTTTTAAAATTCTATTTAAATACACTGTGATTGTGATATTTCTTAACATTAATAATGTTTTACGTTTCAGAAAAAAGTCGTGTAAATTGTTGTAAATATTAATGAGCACAAAATATTAAAAATAAGAGGAAGCGCAAAGTGCGAGGGTCACTCATGCCACAAATAGGTGCAGTACTGCCTAATTGACTATGGACTTTTGATAGGTTGTAATTAATGAATGGATAATAAAAATAATTAAATAGTTCAATAATCTTTTTATAACATCTACTTCATTCTTTCTCTGCATCACCCCAAGGTAAACTTGTAGAGAATGCCCCAAACATTAAGTCCACCTATATACGACGTGGGTATATAGTATAATATGATGATATGCTGATCATGAGGTCCTGGTTTCGAATTCCGGGTCGGGCCAAAAAATCAATTATTGAGTTTTTCTGTCAAGGAATTCTCAGTAGCTGCCCAGAGTCAGGAAGTTGGCGGTGTCTCACCCCCGTGCCTCGGAAAGCACGTAAAGCCGTTGGTCCTGCGCCTGATCTCTCTCCGGACGTGTCGGTTTACAGTCCCATCGGATTATGAGAGTGAGGGAATAGAGAGTGCACCTGTGCTTGCACATACACTTGGGCACTATAATCCTGTCCTGCGCCGATACGTTGAGGCAGACCGCCGTGGCCGAAATTCGGTCTGGAGGATATTATTATTTTGGGGGGTTTTTATATAGTTTTCTCATCTGGCTGGGTTCTATAAATATATAATTATAAATGAAAATGAAAAATTAAATATACATAACTATCCATAAAATAAAATAAATACAAAAATACATAAATAAATAAAAGCCCAACCAGATGGAAGCCCTCGGCAGGGGAGACCAAACGGCCGAGGGTTAGGGGGAAAGGGAAAGAAACAGGCGGACGATGCGGGCAGTATCGAGGAGCACCGCCTTCCGCATTTGAGCCCGGAGCGGTCCGTCACGGAGTCCCAGTCGCCTCAGATGACCAGAGAGGCTGACTGGGATTAGCCCATTCACAGAGACGACTACAGGAATAATCCCCCCCCCCCACGTCGGTCACCTCGTGAGCCAGGTCCAGATATTTTGATTGCTTACGTAAGTACTTATAATACGGCAATTTCCGGTCCACGACATCGTATTTCAGAGCGAGCTCCTGGTGTAGAATTCTGGCTACTAGGTTGTGTCTGTGCAAGTACTCAGAGTTAGAAAGCGCCGCACAACCGGAGATAACATGCCTAAGCGACTCACCGGAATGGCGACAAGCTCGACAGACATCGACGGTGCCATCCTTTAAGATGTATCTCCGATAGTTGTTGGTCTTAATAACCTGATCCTGTATTGCACAGACAAAACCTCGGGTCTACCCCGAAGAGGTCAGCGAAACTTAACCAGTTGAGGGAGGCAACTGTATCTACGAAGGGTTCATGTAGAGCCCTGTAGTACCTCCCGTGGAGCTCCTTTTCCTTCTATACGGTCTCCCGGTCGGAAATGCTAAGCACTGCTGGGTCCTGCCATTGCTCGTTGGCTAAGGATAGAGGCGTAAGCCCTTTATCACTAGAAATGACGTCATTATGGAATGGATTATCCGATCTCGCCAGGAAGTAATGACGGAGGCTGCACACTTCGCGATTATGCATGGTGAGCGCGCTCATAAGACCACGCCCACCATGCTTTCGCGGCAAGTACAGCCTCGTTACCAACGATCTCGGATGATGCATCCCATGGGACATCATGGTAGTGTGGACTTTTCTATCCAGGGCGTTAAGTTCAGTCTGAGTTCACCTGAGTATGCCAAAGGTACACATGAGGACACCCAACTATTATATGCGTGTGTCTTATTCACACAGGACAAAAGGCTGTTAAGCACTTTGGTCAAGCGTGCATAAAACACTGTTTCAAACAGACTGTTGTCGCAAACAGACTGTTTCATACCAGCCTCATCGATACCGATGTTCTGTGACATACCCAGGTATCGGTATGTTTCAGCCTCGGAAAGGGTCCTTAAGTTGACGGGCATAGATAAGTCTATGCCCTCAGAGTTAGCAACCCTTCCCCTTTCAACATGAGGACCTCCGCACACTTATCCGTCCCCAGCTCTAATCTAATAGAATTGCTAAATTCACAATTGATGTTTAGCAATTCCATAAGATGGGAGCGACTGGAGGACGAATAATTTAGGTCATCCATATAGAAAAGGTGGGTCACTTTTGTCCCTCCCTTCCGTAGCTGAAATCCCCTCCCGGAGCCCTCCAGTAAGTTACGGAGAGGGTTTAGAGGGAGGCAAAACCAGAAAGGACACAGACAATCGCCCTGGAAGATACCCCTTATCCTTATACTCGATACCAAAGGATTGTACTCCACTGCCCCATACACTGCTCGAGGAAGTCTCTAACTGTACAGTCAATCTTGTACAGCTCGAGGACCCTCTTTAGCCATGTATAGGGCACCGAGTCTAAAAATACTCGTATGTTGGAGCGCAGGATGTACCGAACTCGGCACTGAGCAAAACTGCCAGGTTTTGCTCAGTGACGGATAGAGATGGCTCCAGCTCTGCAAAAAAGCAATGCATCCGAGCCCGATACGATAAACATCCAGTTTCTTCCCCTTTTGCCCTAAAGTACGTCCGCAGTGCGTTTGCGTTTATTATTTGTGACCAACGCAAGCGACGTGCTCCACCAGCGGCGGGTACTGCAACATGCCACATACAGCTGACCATGAGAGAAGCACTGTTTTTCTAAGTTTACCCCCGCTACCTGTAATGTTTGCCCTTGCGCTTTATTAATTATCATTCAAAACTGAGCTTAATTAGGGAACTGCAACCTTTTGAATTGAAAAGGAAAATCTGTGGGATATTATAGGGATCCGTGGTCTAATAACATTTTCACCTTTTCCAACGCCTGTCAAAATTGTCGCACCGATTATGTTCCGTCATCATCTGACACCAAGCCTTCTGGTGGGGATGATGGATGCGGGGCTGCTAGGTGGTCTTGTAGCATACCGCGCTCGGCTGGCGGCCCGCATGCTGTCGCGTCCAGCGCCAGCTCCAGACGCGTCCTGGCGACCTCCAGGCAGCGGCCCTTTGCGCACTATCTTTTTGTCTATCATCCATGATTTGGGCGTCCATTAACGGGAAACGCCCAGGCCCGGCACCGTATCATGTGTGGCCATAAGCACAAACGGGCCTTTGCACCCTAAATTCTGCCGAGGCACGGCGCTCACACCTCTCGCAAGGCGCTGACTAACTGCGTTGACGTAGCAGTTTTGTCACTTAACTGTTACGTCAGCGGTGGGGGTCGTCAATTCCCTACGCCATTATTATTATTATTATTTTTTGTATATATCTATATTCTCCCTATTAAAGAGGTAACTTAAAACCTAATCACACGGGCCGAAGCCAAGCGTGAGCAGGTGCTAGGTGATGGTGTAAGCAGAGGGGATGAGTTGTAAGGAATGAGTCGGCAGGTGTTGAGAATGACAGCTTTCTGTAGGGTGTGAAGTGTGTGTATGTGTGTGGGTATGACTCCGGTAGATGAGATAACTATTGGGACTATATGGATGGTTTCTGCTCTCCATTGACGCTTGAGTTCTATAGCTAAATCTTGATATTTTGTAAGTTTTATTATTATTATAGTATAATAGCGTAGTATTACACATAGAGACAGTACAAAGCACTAACTTGAACGTCCTCCTCCAGCACGTACGCGCCGGGGCGGTGCGCGCGCGGCGGCAGAGGCCACGCGCAGTGCGTGCGCGCCGCGTGCTGCTCCGCTCCCAGCTCCGCTGCCGGCTCCGATTCCGCTTCCGCTTCAGCCCCTGTTTCTACCGGCTCTTCCTGACTTTCCGCTGCTATTTCTACGCCCACCACACCATCTATATGCACGTCCCCAGCAATATCTATTTTGGCGACAGTACTGTACTGCACTGGCGTCTCTTGTAGTAAACTCACCTGAAAATTGATGCCAAATAATTGTCATACGGAGGGGTATCAAATTCCCTCTTCCTTATCTAGTGCAAGTTTTCAGAGCAAATTTAGTATGGGGTGATATTCCAGAACGACCAACAATCGTCAAAGTTCTATTTATACCTAAGGTTGGTAAAAGACTAAACCTTACCAAAGTCCTTTAGATACCTAAAAACCTATCCTCTTTTCTTCTCAAGATATTAGAAAAGATTAAAGATAGATATAATATTAGGGATGTAGAACTAACTATGAGGTCCATACATTATAACCAGCAGTATGCTTACCGCAGAGACAAATCTACGAAATCAACGCCTATCAGTGTTATTGACATGGTCAAAAAGCGCTGAAAGATAAAAAATAACTCTTTGTGCCCGACTAGACATTGAGGGTGCCTTCGACTGTAGCCCTACATCACTCACTGCTAGTTGGGGACCTGACCTCTAAAAATTTAACCCCACCACCAACAGGTGGGTAAGTCAGCGCTCTCAAACCTAAGGAAAAAGCGCTGTTTCAAACCTCGATTGAGATTGCAACTACGATGAGAGGCTGTCCACAGGGTGGTGGTGTATTGTCACCCCTTCTTTAGACTCTCGCGGTTGACCAACTACTGTACAAGATGACAAACCTTTGCATTGACACACTGGGTTATGCTGATGACCTAGTGGCCATTGCGAGGGGTTTTTGCCAAAATACTTTGTCGTCAATCATACAAAAAGGCCTAAACACCATAAATAACTGGTGTAGGGATAATACTTCATCAGTCAATGCTGATAAAACTGTATAATACCCTTTAGCTAGAACCTTAATGGTAAAGAATTACGTACCATTTTCCACCGAAGTTAAGTATTTGTGCGTAACAGTCGACCAAAACTAACGTGCAACTTTCACTTTGGCAATATATGTCACAATGCTAAAATTGCTTGTAATGTTGTAAGGTTGATCTTTATTTAGACACAAGGAGGCGACTTAATCTCATGGTTGTTAGACGGTAGATGAGGCTGCAATCGTCAACAGATTTGACAGCATACAGGCAACTGAACAGACAGATCTCCAAATGCATGCGGCGAGACTTACGCAACTTTAATACTGCTCGTATTAAAGAAGCGATCGAGAGGAACCAGGGCTCCTAAGTCTTTGCCAGAGATCTGTCTGCCAGAAAGAGCCAACTGTCAAGGCTGAAGACTGAGTGTGGCAACATCGTTTCCGGGACACCTGAGATTCTGAGTGAGATTGAAAGGTTCTATGGGCAGCTGTACACATCATCGTTGGAGCCACACGCAAGTGTGAGTAACGATCCAAGAGCAAGTCTTATCCGACACTATTCCTATGATATCCCGGACGTCAGTCTGAGCGAGATTAGAATGGCTCTCCACCACCTTAAAAACGGCAAGGCCCCGGGCGAGGATGGAATTACAGCGGAGCTTCTGAAAGCGGGTGGAACACCGGTACTTGAAGTCCTTCAGAAGCTCTTCAATTCCGTCCTCCATGGTGGTACTACTCCGGATGTGGTCTATGGTACGCTTCAGTACCATAGACCACATACATACCCTTCGGCAAATTGTACAGAAGTCCGAAGAGTACAATCTGCCACTTTGCCTGGCGTATGTGGACTATGAGAAAGCCTTTGATTCCGTCGAAATTTGGGCGGTGCTACAGTCTCTTCAGCGGTGCCTAGTTGACTGTCGGTATATTGAAGTGCTGAAGTGTTTGTACAGTAGGGCTACGATGGCTATCCGAGTACAGAACCAGAGTACGAAACCTATCCAACTGCAGAGAGGTGTAGGGACAGGGTGATGTTATATCCCCGAAACTCTTCACCGCTGCGTTGGAAGACGTTTTCAAGCTACTGGACTGTAAAGGATACGGTATTAATATCAATGGCGAGTACATCACTCACCTTCGATTTGCCGACGATATAGTCCTTATGGCAGAATCGCTGGAGGACCTTAGCACTATTCTCAATGACCTCAATGGTGTCTCCCAACGGATAGGTCTTAAGATGAACATGGACAAAACAAAGATCATGTTTAATGTCCATGTCACACCTATGCCGGTAGTTGTGACATGGACATTAAACGTTTACCTGGGACAAATAGTCCGACTAGGTAAGTCCAACTTCGACCGAGAGGTCAATCGACGGATTCAACTCGGCTGGGCAGCGTTCGGGAAATTACGACACATCTTCTCGTCAGGTATACCTCAATCTCTGAAAACTAAAGTGTATAACCAGTGCGTGTTGCCAGTGATGACTTACGGATCTGAGACGTGGTCCTTCACCGCTGGCCGTATGAGGACGCTCAAGGTCGCTCAGCGAGCTATGGAGAGGGCTATGCTCGGAGTTTCACTGCGTGATAGATTCAGAAATGAGGATATCCGCAGTAAAACTAGAGTGACCGACATAGCCCAACGGTTTAGTAAGCTGAAGTGGTAATGGGCCGGCCATATAGCTCGAAGAACCGATAACCGATGGGGAAGAAAGGTTCTCGAGTGGCAGCCTCGTACCGGTAGGCGTAGTGTAGGGCGACCCCCCACTAGATGGAGTGACGACCTGGTAATACATGCAGGAAGTCGATGGATGCAGGTGGCTCAGGACCGTACTTTGTGGCATTACTTGGGGGAGGTCTATGTTCAGCAGTGGACTTGTGAAGGGCTGTAATGATGATGATGATGAAGGAGGCGACGGCTAGATTATATATGATTAACGCCTAGGGCGGTCTGAGCTTGCTTTTCTACAGATTGAGATTCAATCTCGACTCAATAAAGGAAACACTGACGTTACGTATTATTTTAAACACCATTATTGATAGCTTAGACAGTAACACACTAGAAAAACGCCGTGATATAAGAGATTAATGTTGTTGTACAAATTGCTACATAATATCATCGACTCTCCCCACTTTTAGGCAAAATGAATCTTGCGTGTTACCGGTTTTTTTGCGGTTACCGGTGCACGAAATAAGCCTCTTTTTGCATTACGTAAAGTTAAAACGAAGTATGCCTCAAATAATTTTGTATCTCGTACATGTAAAAATTTTAACTTAAAATATTGTGAACTAGATATTTTTCACCTTAAATATGATAGTTATAAAAAATATTGTAAAATTTAATTTATAATTGAGAGCTTCACTAGATAAATTATATGTATTGTATTACATTTAACTGCTTAGTACTTAATGTTTAATTATAAATAACATAAACTCACGCCTGTCACCCAGAGGGGTAGGCAGAGACTACAGACTTCCATTTGGCACGATCCTGACACACCTCTCTCGCCTCCTTCACATCCATACACCTACGCATACATGCTCGTCGGTTAAGGGTACTCCTAATTTGGCCCGTTTTCAATAAATCGCCAATTCGGTCGATAAATTTTCGCCTAGGACGTCCCTTTCCGACTCTGCCATTCACTTCTGCAACATAAATTTTCTTTGTCACTCTTTCCTCATTCATTCTCACCAAACCACCTATTCCTAGAATTATAAATACCATTTAGTTATTTTTTTAAATCTTTAAACATATTGTGATTGCAAGCTTTTAATATGTATAATATATCTGTGGAAACTTCATTGGTTTTAGGACTACTTTTATATGTTTTATAATGTATTTTTATTGTACTGTATGTTTTCCTTAAAAAGCAAATAAATAAAATAAATATCATGTGTCCACTATACACTTTTAATAAAAAGTACATAGTGAAACTACTCTCCAGAGAAGACTGGCTGAATGAACAGGTTATCTGTGAGGTCGGTAGCCTTATATAGTATACCGATGCGTTTGGTCAAGAATGGGCCTAGACTAGGCTTTGATATTCATGGGGAACGCATACTACAAACTAAGTTTAAATTTGGGGAAATTCAACTCTATCTTCCAGGCAGAAATTTTCGCAATACTTCGATGGGCGGAAATTAACCTGCAAAAACACTACGTCAACCATATTATCTATACAAACAGCACTGCTAGCGCTGAGATAAAACTTAGTGACCTTGTACTTAGCTAGTTGGAGAGTACGTGATTGGAGAGTACGTGATCCGCCCAAAAACCCTGGGGTGTAACAACAACGTCTTTTTGAAATGAACTTGCCGACAAACTCAAACGAGGGAGCTCAAAGAATACACTCAATTAGGACCCTTTAGACATAAATCACTTAAGATTTGGTCTGATACATCGGGCTTAAAACATTCTAAAACCTTAATACGGGCTTATGATCGTAAATTCACTTCAGAAGCCCTGGGATTAATAAGAATAAACTATGTATTCTGGCAAGAGCCATGACGGCACAGTTGTCTAAAAAAGCACATGTCCACCCTGGGACTAAGCAACTCAATGATGTGGCGATTCTGCTCCTTAACGGAAGAAACACCTCTGCACAACCTTACTCATTGTGGACCCTTAATGCGCAAACGTAACACTCATCTGAGAAACTATGTACTTCGCTACAGAAGAAGTGAAATTGCTGACAGCTATGCAACTCCTTCAATTTATTAAAGACATAGGGCTTAACAGTGAACTAATAATCATAGCAGCGATCACAATATATCTTACAGGTCGCAGTGATACTGGCCTTTCTAGACCTGCATAGCTACTCGCACACATAAAAAAATGGTTGTATGTAACTTTTTTATTGTTGGTCATTCTGGTTTTAAATTTTCCAACACTAGATAATAATGACATCTTGGACAGGGATCACGAACTAAGCTTTTAAGTGTAGCGCCAATGCTATCCTCCGGGTTCCCCGGATTACCTGTTCTTAGTATTCTTAGTTCGTAATTTAGTATGCCAGTAAAGTTTTTAATCTTCCGAAATGATTAATCAATCACGCGACTGAGTAAATCGTTAGGTGAAATCACTAGTTCAAATCAAGACTAAAGCCAATAGTAATAAAAATACTTAAATTTGGTTTCCAGCTGTGGAGATATTGTCACAGGCACTCTGCAAGGCATAATTTTTTTGTTACTAACTCATGAGAGCATGGTCATGATGCCTCGGATGCTTAACTGTGGAAACCAAACAGAGATTTCAAAATTATACACTTACGGTGAATGTATTCTCCACAATAGGCTCCACGAGAGTAGTAGAATCTGACGTTAAAGTTTTCTCTGTACTAGTTTCTTCTTTTTTATGCACCTTCTTCATGTGCATATACAAAGAACTCATATTGTTGAAACTCTGCTCGCAGCCTGTAAAACAAATGAGTGATGAAGCATTATTCCATGACTGATGGTCACTTTACACTACCGGCATTAAATAATACATATTGAGCGTTGGAAAGAGACAATCGCCCTTCGGCTTTTTAGAGCGTCGTCTCTTTCACACGAAGCGCTAAGAGTCCAGTATCTATTAAGCGTTGCTTAAATTACGTTATTTTAACAATTACGTTATTTTGTAATTGAGTATTACCTTAAACAAAAATAAAACTATTGAGTATTCAAAATAAAACTGAAAATACTGTATTTCAGTCATACTAGTTTGATGTGGTTTCAATTGTGCCAGTCTTAAGTGATAGAGCCATGTTGCAGCTACATATGGTCGCAGCAGGAATGTGTGGGCTCGACCGAGGAAAGCCCACACTCTCACAGATTACTAGCTTCAAATAGTAGCTTAATGCTACTGTGTTTCGTATGAGCAATGTAGAGACCGGAAACCGTTTTTACTAGAAATTATCAGGCGTTCGACGGAAGACGATGAAGAATGACGACGGGGAAGGATGACGACGCATATGCATTTTGATTCTTATTTGAAGATAGGAGATGTCTATGGGCTACAACATCCACTTAACATCACGTCGACTGTGTACTCGTTTGTCACCCATATTCTATAAAAAAATCTATTTTCTTCTATTTCAGTATCTGTGCTCTCAATTTTAAATTGGGGAGTTTTCAACAACTCTCTATATAATATATTTAAAGAAGACGCGACTGCATCCTAACATACTTGTATGACTGAAAAATTTGCCAGTTGTTTCAGTGACAAGTCAGAGACAAAACGTCACATGGAGACGACGCTCTACGAAGCCAAAGTAGCCGATTGCCACTTTCTAAATCTAAATGTGTAATATTTACTACCCAGTACAGTACATGCTAATTAACTCAGTGACGGTACGCACACCTATTCACCAAAGACATGTGTACGACTAGACCCGCAATTCACAAAAAGAACTGTTTCATAGCCGTGGTTCGCGAGGTCGCGCGGGAGCCGCCGGGTAGCGACATGGATAAATTAAGATAACAGTTGATTTTCATTTACGACAGTTACTGTTATTAGGTAAATACGAAATAAAGTTACATACTTATTTGTAATTTATTTCAAATAACATTGACAAATTGCGCAAACATTAAACGAATTACTGTCAGATTGTCGAAAAGGTTCACGGTTTTCAAAACAAAGATTTTGTGTTCTCACCCGCTCCGCAGCCGACCAGGAGAATTGAGCGTAACTTAGTTCGCATTGTTTTAAGGTCGTACACTCAAATATTTATTCAATCCGGCGGTACTGACCGTGGTGAGTGCAGGCGTGCAGCGGGTGCGCGTGGTGCGCGCATGGTGCTCGCGCGTGCTCGCGGCGCAGGAAGCTCCATGTTGTGTAACGTTCGCTCTGGTTAGCTCAGTGAGGCGGTACTGACCGTGATGCGTGCAGGCGTTACGCAGGGGCGCGCGTGGTGCTCGTGGCGCAGGGAGCTCCATGTTGCGTAACGTTCGCTCAGCTCTGTGAGGCGGTACTGACCGTGGTGCGTGAAGGCGCGCGGCGGTCGTGCGCGTGGAAATCGCGGCGCAGGAAGCTCCATGTTGTGTAACGTTCGCTCAGCTCAGTGAAGCGGTACTGACCGTGGTGCGTGAAGGCGCGCAGCGGTCGCGCGTGGAGATCGCGGCACAGGAAGCTTCATGTTGTGTAACGTTCGCTCAGCTCAGTGAGGCGGTACTGACCGTGGTGCGTGAAGACGCGCAGCCGTCGCGCGTGGAGATCGCGGCACAGGAAGCTTCATGTTGTGTAACGTTGGCTCAGCTCAGTGGGGCGATACTGACCGTGATGCGTGCAGGCGTGCGGTGGACGCGTGTGGTGCTCGCGGCGCAGGGAGCTCCATATTGCGTAACGTTCGCTCAGCTCAGTGAGACGGTACTGACCGTGGTGCGTGCAGGCGTGCGGCGGGCGCGCGTGGTGCTCGCGGCGCAGGAAGCTCCATGTTACGTAACGTTCGCTCAGCTCAGGGAGGCGGTACTGCCCGTGGTGCGTGCAGGCGTGCGGCGGGCGCGCGTGGTGCTCGCGGCGCAGGAAGCTCCATGTTGCGTAACGTTCGCTCAGCTCAGTGAGACGGTACTGACCGTGGTGCGTGCAGGCATGCGACTAGCGCACGTGGTGCGTGTCCCGCGCGTATGCTCGCGGCGCAGGAAGCTCCATGTTGTGTAACGTTCGCTCAGCTCAGTGAGGCGGTACTGACCGTGATGCGTGCAGGCGTGCGGCGGGCGCACGCGCGGTGCGTGCTGTCGCGCGTGGTGCTCGCGCAGGTGCTCGCGGCGCAGGAAGGCGCGGCCGCACGCGGCGCACGAGTGCCGCCGCTCGCCCGTATGTCGTCGCGCGTGCCGCACCAATTTGCTCGCCGTACGGAACGACCAGCCGCAATTCTGCGACACGCCTTTCATTAAAAACTGTAGTTTCACAATTAACAAAATACAATAAATACAACAGTTAAAGGTGTAATGTAGATAGGATTACAACTTTTACTACAATAAAGTACTAAGGCATTGATGAACTCTGTAATTTTACTACTCTATGCCACCAGCGTGTCAATATACGGCATACGTATACCGTATCTACGCAATGGCAATTTTATAGCAAGAAAATGTGCGCGAAAAGTAAGTGCGAGTGGTACAGAGAGCAGTAAAGCTCTGCCCACATACCCAACGTCGTTATCGTGGAGACAAGCCTTCACATAATATTACGTGAAGGCTTGTGTGAAATATCATTATTTTTACGATGCTGGTTTTTTTGTAGTTCGCGAAACCTGTGCGACTCATATTGGTATTTTTGCTAGTAAATTTAACGACCGTTCTTGCGAAAACTGACCGCGCGACTAATTCACTTCAGCATACAGTAGACCATTTTAGTGGCGCTATTCAAATATATACTCATACACAGACAAACAAATTATTACGCTCTATAGATAAACCAATTTATGAGTTACAAATAAAACAAGCAATTTGAAACTCTACATTATAAAACAATGAATAGGACAATGGTTATTCTCTTGCTGTGAGAAATGCACAGTACGCATGTTTTGCATCGACACTGGAATGATAATGAAGTCACTGGCCGGAATGGCTTACTACATATCAGTCAAGGTTGTGCAAAAAAAATGTGACACCTTTTCTATATTTTTTACAACTACTTGAGCAAAGTCTAAGTTCAAGGGAACATAACGATCCCATCAGAAACTTCGATATTGAATTCCATTCTCAATACTTCAGGCTTCGATCAGTTCATTCCCAAAGATCATGAAGATCAGTGGCGTCGAATGAGCACCACTCAGATAACTAACCTCAAACAAAAAAACGCACCACTCAGCGTACATGACGTACAACAGTACTCAGTTATGTATTCAATACTGGGACTGATTATTATAGCAGGATGTGTTTACGTGACCATGTAATGTCGCAGAAACAAGGGACCACTGACCTTGGCTGTGATGAACACCCCTGCGTACTAAATCCCGATGGCGGTAAGGAGCGGAGACCAAGAGGCTGTCGCAACCCTGAGGACCCGACTGCAATCCGAGCGACTGGACATTCCGTCACAAGTGTAGTGCATTGATGAAATATTTAAGGATTTATATTATTGCTACTTTGTTTTCTTTATTTTGGATTATTATCTTATTATTGTTTTGTACTTATTTCTAAGGTTCCCTCTTTTGGGCAGGCAAGATGTATGGGTTACCGCACAATAATTAATAAAACATCCATTACTCATTAATTTAGGTCACTTAGAAACAATACTATTTGTTAATGCACAAGTGTATAACTTCCATACTTCTGCTTATACAATAGTTTATAATGCCATCAAAAACATAACTCGTAGAAAAAAACCAAGTCTCGCAACTCAGTTCTTCCACCGTAAAAAGTTGTGAGATCCGTGTAATACCAAGTCGGGTAATTTATTCAGTCTCTACTTAAGGGTCCTTCTGTCTTGTTATTACGTAATTAGCTAACCTAACAACATCATACAGTGGTATCTTATAGTCGTAGTAGTTTATGTTTTAAATAAATAGATTGACTTGGCCATCGCATGAAAACACAACGTATCTCACAAGTAATACATACTATATTAAATTAGATTGTCCAGTGCGATTGCCAAGAAGTCAATCTATTTATTTAAAATATAAAAGATTTTTAATATTGATATGGTCACAAATTGCATTAACTTATGTTTTGAACACGGCATCTTTCCAGATGGCCTAAACTTGCTCCATGTAACTACCGTCCATTATCTGTACTTCCAGTGTTCTCAAAAAATTTTGAGATAATTCTTTATAATCGTCTGGAAACATTTCTTAATTCAATTATTATTTTTTATGAGAAACAATTTAGATTTTAACCTCAATCGAATGCACTTTCGGCTACTATAGATTTAATAACAATAATTAAAAATAAAATTGATCATAAACAAGTAGCCTTAAGAGTTTCTATAGATCTTAAAAAAGCTTTTGTTACGATTAGCCACAATTTATTACTACAAAAATTAACTCGTATTCGCATTAAAAGTGCTTTGCACTTGAAATTTTTAAATCATATTTACTAAATCGTAAGCAAATAGTTAAAATAGACGAACATCAAAGTCGTACTAATCTTGTTACTTTTGGCATACCTCAGGGTTCAATTTTGGGACCTTATTATTTCTCATTTATATCAACGACATAAGCCAAATTGGCCTTATAGGCGACATTTCGCTTTACGCAGATGACACAAGTGTATTTTACTTTGGCAACTCGATTGAAGTTATTTTACCCCATTCTTAAAATAATCTAAATATATTGAATGAATGGTTTCAATCAAATCTCCTGACTATAAATAATAACAAAACGTTTTATATTATATTTGCACATAAATATAAAAAAAATACTTCTAATATTCAATTGAAAGTAAATGATCGAATAATTCAAAAGAAAAATAAAGAGAAATATTTCGGTCTCATTTTAGATTAATTAGAAGCCATATATAGGAAAAATCAAATCCAAATTAATATTACTTTCAGGGACTCTTTATGGCTTAAGTAAATGTCTTCCTAGAAACGTTCGATACATTTTTTTAACTATTCTAAGCCAGCACTTAGCTACAATCCCACCTGATGGTAAGTGGTGATGTACATGGTAAAGCGCACTGACTTGACAAAAACCTATTCACTCTTGCCTTGAAGACACCCGGATTTCGGATTCGGATGGAAAGACAGATGACATCATTTATAATTCTTTGGTTAAACCTCATATTGACTATTTAATAGAAATTTGGGGGACTGCAGCTAAATCAAATTTGGATTTAATGCAAACAACGCAAAATAAATTATTAAAAGTTTTATTTAATTATAAATCCCGAACACCGAAAAAAAGATATATGATGATACTAAAATAATGAATACTACACAAACTTATAAATACTACACTTGTAAACAAATTCATAAAATAATAATCAATAAAGACATTCATACATTATTGAACTTTATAAAAAAATAACAAATACAAAAATAAAATTACGCAATGCAAACTACATAGTTACACGTCGATCCAGAACAAACTACGAAAATCATGTACAATAAATTACCGATTAATATTAAAGAAGCAAAAAGTATGCCCCATATGAAAAAATTGCTTAAAGCATATTTATGAAGGTCACATTAAGAAATAAATTACCAAGCATACGCATAAACGTACGCACTCTGATTGATGCCTCTTCTAGCCAGTTGCATTTCTTAATCACGATCCGTGTTTGCTCGGTTGGTGTTATTATTTGTTAATTGTTGCACGATTCGAAAACTACCTACATCCTACGTTGTATCTTATAAACTTATTATAGTAAGTTTCTAGTGCAGGCGGAAAAAAGTGCATTGACCTCAAGTATTATGTTAGCATCGAAACAGTTAATGCTTCCATACATTTCGTTATAGATTACGTATCATTATGCGCTAAGCGTGTTTCATGGTACGGGGTAGGGTGAAGGAAGCGGTCAGCTGTTTCGAGGCGATTTGCGATTGGTCTCACGCCGTGCGTATTTAAGAAAGCGGATGGAGCAGAACTCATTCCTCATTCTGCTTTGGGATGCGCTTACGTGTAAGTAGTTTGAGATTTAAAATTTTCGGTTATAGTAGTTGTCTTAATTTTTATTAAGTTTGTTTTGTGATTTGTATTATTATGTTTTGTATTAAAGATTTTGTTATTGTTTTGTGATTTGTATTATTACGTTGTGCATTAAAGTTTTTGTTATTGTTTTGTGACGTTTTTTATATTATCACTAGTATGAAATCGAGTCTATCGACATTTCATAAAGACTTTACGTCACCACGAAAGAAGCGGAAAGTGTCGTATATTTCGGAAACCGAAAAAATAATGATTGTAAACATCTATAAATATGTAAATGAAGAATGTTCTAGTGACGTATTTCCATCCAAAACGGATATGAAAAAGAACACTGCCGATATTTTAGGTTATAATCTACGTGACGTACTCTTCTACGTCTTCATCATCATAAAAGCCTTCTTTCATTTTTATTGGTGTGTTTTCATAATTTTTTTTACCTGCCATGGTTGTTTTATACAACTACCTACCTACCTACTTATTAAAGTACTTACCTACTATTAACGTAATAATGAAAATTATAATAACTCATGATTTATAAATAATAAACTTAAATTAATATTAATTTGCTTTTTAATTCATTTACGTACAGGATAATCTTCTTTCTTTACTATATAATAATGAACATAGGGCCTGTAAAGAACTTCACACTCGGCACCCTAATCTGTCACTCTGATGATGTATGTAATTATAAAAGGATAAAAAATGAACCTAAACAAAAAAGATTGCCTACCCCGATGATATCGTCAAAGGTCAATGTACTTTATTCCGCCTGCCCTAGAAACGTACTATATATATATATTTTTTTTTTTTTTTTTCATATATTTAGTTTGTTTGTTTGTTTAGTTAAATTTAGTTTCTCAGTTAGCGAATGATTGTTTAATTTTTAATGAGAAATAAAGTTCTTAAACCATATTTTACGGTGGAAGAACTGAGTTGCGAGAGTTGGTTTCTTTTACAAGTAATGTTTTTGATGGCATCTCATTTATTTTTGTAGATAGTCTTACTCTTTTTCCTTTCCGGTACCTACTACTTCTTGAATACCAACAACCAGTGGCGAAGCTAGGGCTCCAAACTAGGGCAAGCCCAAGATATGGTTTTGTTGTTTTTAGCAGTTTTATAAAAATACACCAATCTTGATCTGTCTCCACTCTTTAGTTTTATATTCAGTGCTGTCGAGGACGTATTTAACAAAGCACACAGAAGGCATACTACTGCTAGATAGGTTGTATGAACGTAAATCAATCAATTTTCGTTCGATAAAATGACTTCACCTATATAATTTAGTAGATGGCGCTATTAAAATTTAATATACTGAAGACTAAAGGAAATATTTTTTAAAAACCTCAATACATGATGTATTCATTTAATTTATTAAATTAAAATTTGGGCTTCACATTAAAAAAAAGATTGTAACAGTTATTTGCTATAAAATTAAACTTATAGCCTACACTAGGTATCTCATATTTTATGCTGCAGTTCAAAATGATATTTTTAATTCATATGGTAATATAAGTATTGAGTTATTAAACCTTTAAATACGCCTAGAATAATTAAACTTTAATACTAAAGAGCCCTGTATCTATTAAAGTGTGAAGAAATGTTTATTGAATTAAAATTTTATTTTTAAAGATTTTACCTTTTCCTCGCTGATTAGCACTTTAACACACTTATATTCATCACAAAGAACACTCTTTCTCTCCATTTTCACTAAAAATCTTAAAAAAGTATAAATTTTCAACTCACAATATTTTACATTATAATATATTCGCTCAAACTAACACACAATGTAAACATTGAAATGTGACGTGAACTTGCAAACATATCGTCGGCGTCGCCCGCGCGCCTCCGTGTCTCGACTAACTTCATACCTAAAGTGACCATACGTCCCCCTTTAGGCAGGACGTTCCCGATTTAAAGGTTTGTGTCGCGCTGTCCCCAAAATACTTAAAAATGTCCCGCTTTGACAAACAAAAGCGTGACAATCATGCAAACTCTGTCACCCGTGCCATTATTGTGACACCGCGCGTACCAGGTGGCACTTCACTGGCACTGCGAAGAGATGTTGCATCTCTTTGCATTTTATTTCGCATATACCATGGAGTGCTCTGAGGAATTGTTCGGATTAATCCCAGCCGCCAAATTTCGTGAACGCACTACGCGGCAAACGTCCCGATACCATCCACACCATCTCGATGCTTGGCGGTCCACCACAGTACGTTTCAAAAGGAGTTTTCTTCCGCGTACAACCTCTCTGTGGAATAGTTTACCACCGGCGATTTTTCCGGACCGATACGACCTAGGGACCTTCAAGAAAAGAGCTTACTCCTTGAATAAAACTATTATTTACGGATTTTATCGCGTTTAATTAGTTTAATTTATTTTTATTATTATCCCGACGTTTCGGGTGCTTTACAGCACCCATGGTAACGGGAGGGACTGAGATGTTTGACGTCCCAATGTCATAGTTAGTCCGGCTACCTTCAGTTTTTTTAATATTAAAGGTAGCCGGACTAACTATGACATTGGGACGTCAAACATCTCAGTCCCCCCCGTATAATAATAAAAATAAATTAAAGTAATTAAACGCGATAAAATCCGTAAATAATAGTTTTATTCAATGTGTAGTGTTCGCGTAAATTTAAGAAATCATTAGCTTACTCCTTTCTAAAGGGCCGGCAACGCACCTGCAATTCCCCTGGTGTTGCGGTTGATCATGGGCGGCGGTAGTCACTTAACATCAGGTGAGCCGCATTCTCGTTTGCCCCCTCTTCTATAAAAAAAAGGTTTGCCAGCATGGCTTGTATAGTTACGTGATTATCCTGAAAAGCTACACTTTTGAATTTAAAGGTACGAAGTGACAATTTTTAATTAATCTACAATAAATTATCAAATAACGTTAACGTAATTATTTGATGTTCAGAATTCACTTTAGATCATTAAAAGGTTCAAACAACTATGTGTTTTATTTATAAAGGGCTTCAGATTGAATTTTGGTATCAAGGTCATTCTCAACGGAAAATAGCCATCTGCGCATCTGGATTATATTGCCCCAGTGTAATACTACTGCTACTGAGAATTTTGTGACAGAAAAACCCAATAAATGATTCTTGACCCGACTCAGGTTTCGAACTTGGGACCACATGATCAGCAATTGCGTTTACGACCATTAGACCAAGAAGGCAGTCAAAAGTGTTAAAACTATAATAATTTTAAAGGCGTTCCGCTCTGAAGAAAAAATTGATGGTCACTAAAAAGCCGAGGTTTTTATCTCCATACTAATTGCTATTTATACAATCGTAGTAATGTTTCATTATAGAACATTTTGCCACAGGGTAGAAAAGGAGCGATCGCCTTCTCGAAAGCTCGGGAAAAAGCCCACGTGTGCGAGGGAGACAACCAATGGCTCAATTCAACTCTCCTTATATGTATGACAGCAGTATTACTAAGGCTGCGAGGTCGCACAGAGCGCGCGGGAAATTTGAAATAGTTTGAAACAGTTTACGAGTTATTTTATTACTTGATATTATTGTTGATTCAGCTTGATAAGGCAAGCCGGGCTTCTGGGCTTGTATGGAGGCTTCGCCACTGCCAACAACGTACCTATTTACAACTATGATTCCATTACATTATACATATACAGGTACACTGATTCATTCACTGCAAATGTTACTTTGTAATCCTATATATTTATATGGGATCTAAAATTTTTTTGATATATCTAGAAAACTGGACCGAAATTGCGAAATATTTTAGTTTTTCCTTGATTTATACACTAAACACATTGTATTCTAAATTTGAAACTTTTTATGTCTGCTAGAAGTGCCTTAGAGTTTTGATGATCGGTCAGTCAGTGGGTGACCAAATTAATAAACTTTGACTTGTTATAATTTTTAAACTTCTGGTTCAAATTGAATGAAATTTGAAATATACCGTGTTTATACGATGCCTGCTTGGTTACTGAAAATTCAGGCTTGTAGTTATATCCACAACGAAGTTATGGGGGATCAAAAATGGCCTCAATTGCTTCCAGAAAAGGATGGCAAGGCCGTTCCGCTTTTTTGCTCGACTTGGCGGGGGCACTTCCCAGATATAAGAAATTATTCCTCTACAGTAAAATCATTGGGTTTGTTTCGTACATTAACTTTTCCTTACATCTTGTTTTGCACTAATCTTGTAAACTGTACACACTATATTATATTTTTAATCATTATATGACAAACGGTGTTGGTTTTAAATGTATATAAATATTACTAACATATATTGCTACTTAATATAAATTTGTCACTGTTTGTTTATCATAGTAAATAATAAATTCAAGATAGTAGTCAAGTACTGGCTGGCAAAAACGAGAGATGAGAAAATAAAGAAGACTTTAAAGAGAATTTTGAATTTTTTTTCTTTGATAAGGGGCTCGTAAGGTTGTACTTTTGCCAGTGTCAAGTATATTATGAAATTATCATTTATTATCTGTATCAAAACTCTTTTAAAATGTGTTGATGCATCACATAGTGAAGTTTTTGGGAGATTTTAACGGCAGCTTGAGCATGCAGACAGCCGTACGACGGCAGTGTCTAAAGGTCTTATTTTGAGATTCATATCACCATCACCATCGGAGCACTTTTTTCCTCGTTTCCACTAATAGTTCACATGGAGAGACATTTAATACACAAAAGCGCACCACTTTTACAAATCAAAATATATTTCAAACCATTTTTTGAACAATATTACAGAAACAGCACTTCGACGCCGGTCAAGTTCCCGCCAAAAGTATTTAAAATATTAACAAAGGAAGTGTTAAATAGTGCGGCAGTTACCGGATAGTTGCAGGGGTAGGGCTTGTCGCCGGTGTGCGCGCGCGTATGCTCGCGCAGTCGGCAGGGCTGGCGGAACACGCGGCCGCAGCCCGGCCACGCGCACGCCAGCACGCCGCGCCCCGCGCGCCCGTGCGCCCGCCCGTGCGCGCGCAGACCCGACGCCCAGAAGAACCGCCGCCCGCACTCCGCGCACCTGCGCACGCATCTACCTTATGTACACCTAGGGCTGCCAGCCATCCTTTATCTTAAAGCACGTTTTACACTCAACTAGACAAGGTACGGAGTATTGACCTTAGCTTAGCGGGTAATGTATTAGTACCATAATGCCCGTCTAGTAGTATACCGAAAAAATGGAAACCCAACCTTCTAGAATTTTTTTACACAAAATTTACAAATATAGAAAATATTACAGATACCGTGAAAGTTTAGACCCCAATGAAATTTTTTATTGATATTTTCAGTGCTGATTTACATTAAAAATAATACTTATTAAGTCATTGTTGTTTGATTTACCACTGGTTCAGAAAATATCGCTGTCCTGAGAAGAATCAGCGAAGAAATTGAATCAGAAATGAGTCCATATTTTTACACATTACAATTAGCATTGTATCACTGACGGAATGCTTATATCTTACATAAGCGATGTCCAGTAGTAGACTTTAACAAGCCTATGAAAAAAAAAAAGTACAAGTAGAAACCGCACGATTGCTGTTCCCACCAGAACTATACTAGGAAATTTACACAAATGTTCAAAAAATGCAACAAGGTTCGCACATTAACTTCGGTTCTTAAAATAAAACATTTTAATTAATACTGCAATACATACACATGATTAGCTTCTTCTAAAGTATGTTCTTCATTTAGATGTTTCAAAAGTTCTTCTCTTAATACAAATGTCCTTCCACATGGCTCCTCTATGCCAGATTTAAGCGCCTTGATTGGACATTCTAATATTGTTTGTCTAGGTGTTCTGTTACTTGCTCCTTTGTTATGAGTATTTTGGTGCTTTTTAAACTTTTGTTTATTCGAGAACTCCTTATTACAGTCAGATATGTCACACTAAAACCAATTTTATTATAAATACTATCAACATGATCATTATGATTAGACGGCGATAAGCATTTTAGTTTATGTAACAGTATTGAAAAAATATAAAATTAAACTCAAGGAAGCCTTCACCAATCCAGCATTTCAATTGTAAGAAGCGACTCCTAATCAGCTGTACAAATTAGATGCTATAATAATTTATAGATATAGACCTACCAACAATACGTTTATCAGCACATTTATTTCAATAATACATACATTTATAGAGATAAATATAGGTTTTGGGAATCTTTTTAGTCGCGAACTGTAACGATAATATTTAAATGAACATAACTTTAAATTCTACTTTGAATAATGGTCAGATTAACACCGTTTTTTACTCTTAAAAACCTAACGGCATCGTTAACAGTTAATATCTGCATAATTTTAGAATCAATTTAATGATAAATAAGGCTAAAAACAACACTCAAAAATATTACCATGATTTAGATTGAAAAGTGTGCGGGATATACATTTTTCTGGCAAAGAATGTCCAGTCGTGCACTAGACACCATACAATTATAAGTATTTTTTTATTAAAAAAAAGTGCGTGTGAGCGCGCGCGTGCATGTGCGTGTACGTGCGTGCGTGCGTGCGTGCGTCCGTACGTGCGTGCGTGCGTGCGTGCGTGCGTGCGTCCGTACGTGCGTGCGTGCGTGCGTACGTGCGTGCGTCCGTCCGTCCGTGCGTGCGTCCGTCCGTCCGTCCGTCCGTGCGTGCGTGCGTGCGTGCGTGCGTGCGTGCGTGCGTGCGGGCGTGCGTGCGTGCGTGGTGTGTGTGTGTGTGTGTGTGTGGTGTGTGAGTGTGATTAATATCCATGGAAAATAACATTTATTTACAAATCCTAAAATTGTTCCTCTATTACATAACGCCGTTATTTAGTCATCTGACGAATGGTGATTGAATTATTATATTATATTATATTTATTATACCTCATTAATATATCATCACATAGCATAGCAGCACTCACATTCAATCACATAGCAGATTCAGCAAATTTAAAATAAAGAAAACAAGAATTCAAATAAAGCATTGAAACTAGTGTTAACATACCTTAAATTTGGCAGTGCTTTTAGTGAGATCATTAAAAGGATTGTTTTGTATATTAGACACAGAAGGCACTATTTCTCCTTGTATGGTTATAATATTATTCCTGTGCATCGAGGAAACAACCGACAATGGAACCATTGTTGTTACTACGTCCAACTTTTGCTCTAAAAACATGTTACCTTCATGAGAGATTGATCCATTACCTGAAAGTAAAAATTTTATTTCAAAGTAGTTAGCATTCATTTAAAAATTTACTCACTCTATTAAATAAAACAAGCGGTAAAATAAAAATAAATTGTACAACGGACTTTAATATATTATATGAAATGAGAACACCATCAACATAGTCAGTCAATTAAATACGCATTATTAAGGATAACTCAAAAACTACTGGTCAGATCTTGATCAAGTTTATATTAGAGTGCGTGAGAAGCATCAGTTTTTGAATCAAAAAAGAATCATCAAAATCGATTCTCCTAGATAAAAGTTCTGAGGTAACACACATTAAAAATACATTCAAATTGAATACCTCCTCCTTTTTTGAAGTCGGTTTAAAAGCAATTTGACACAGAAAAAATTATTACAGATCAGTTATAACTATTTTATATTTATCTATAAGTCTAAGAAGCTTTCAGTATATATATATATATATATATATATATATATATATATATATATATATATATATATATATATATATATATATATATATATATATATATATATATTACATTAACAATGTATAAACACATCAACAACAACAACAAAGTTCATATGTCCAAGAATACTTTTATTCCAAGAACATGCAGGTCTTCCCACAAAACTATTCTTTACTGTTTGAGCTGGTGATATATAACCTATTACAATTATAAATATAAACACATTACAATAAAAATTAAAAGGATTGCAATTTGAAATAGCAGTGAAGTCAACGCTGACAATCGAATTTGTTTGCCATATTATGAATGTTCTCATTTTGTTGCTTGCCTCCTATGAAATGAAATATAAGGTGTAGTTCCTGCAATATGACTCTCATTAAAAATGGCTAACGTGACTAGATATATTAAAAGTTGAGTATTTACAAAAAATTACTTACTATGTCCCTTCATTACTTTATGCGTATCTTGCATGACATCCAAACACCACATAGAGCTATCATATTTATCAACAGATTCCAACCGTAGCCCATCACCTTCAAACGCCATACCATTCTGAAAGACGCAAAATTAAAAAAAAATGTTTAAAAAAATTAAAGACTACAGTTTTCCACAAATCTGCTTCTACTAGTTTTTACGAGCTTTTCGTCATGTTACACTAGCTCTTTCAACTCATCTGCATAGAATTTTTCATCAAGAGTAAATTATAGTTTGATAAGACCATAGTAACAAAATAAATAATAAAGAAACTTCAGAAAATTCACTCCTTTGATTTTGACAGAAACTTTTGAGCTTATAGCCTACAGAATTGGGTAGGCACGGCGTGAATTCTAAATCACACCTTAATGATTTCTTAAATTTACGCGAACACTACACATTGAATAAAACTATTATTTACGGATTTTATCGCGTTTAATTACTTTAATTTATTTTTATTATTATCCCGACGTTTCGGGTGCTTTACAGCACCCATGGTCAGGGGGGACTGAGATGCTTGACGTCCCAATGTCATAGTTAGTCCGGCTACCTTCAGTTTTTTTAATATTAATTTTTGGTTCGATTTACGCAAAACGAGCTTATGATCGAGCAAAGATTTACCCACGGTAGCTACCTGTGAAGGATGATAGTGAGATTCACCATTTAGATATCGTCTCACACCAGACCCATACCAACCGATATCTTTGGGTAAATCTTTGTTTCAGAGAGCACGAGGGATCTGTGACAGAAAACATCTGGCCGCGGAGCTTCAGCACGTCAAGCAAGTATTGCAAGACAACAAGCTTCGGGTCCCGCGCCTACGTCACAGTAAACGAGTGAAGCCGGCCACAGTCGAGCGCGCGCCTGCTCTACTACCATATGTCAGAGGAGTCACGGACAAGATCGGCTACATCTTGAAGCGAGCCTCCATTAAAACATACTACAAGCCGCTGAAGAAGATTAGTCAATTTTTACCATCCATCAAATGTAATATTCCTCTACAAGATGCAGGTGTGTACAAGCTAGATTGTGAATGTGGTCTCTCTTACATAGGTCAAATAAAGAGATCTATAAAAACCCGCGTGAAGGAACATATAGCTGATGTGAAGCACCGACGCTCCGGGAAGTCTGCAGTCTGCGAACATGTTCAAGATCGTCCCCACCATTATATTAGATTTGATAAACCACAAATTCTCGCAAAAGAACACCGATTCCTACCAAGGATGATACGCGAGGCTATTGAAATTAAAAAACATCCAAATTTCAATGAAGATGGTTGGGTGCTACCATCTGCTTGGGATCCTATAATTAACAAAATTAAACCAAAACCCAAGCATACCACTGCAAGACCTCATGATACTATAAGCTCGTTTTGCGTAAATCGAACCAAAAATTAATATTTAAAAAACTGAAGGTAGCCGGACTAACTATGACATTGGGACGTCAAGCATCTCAGTCCCCCCCGTGACCATGGGTGCTGTAAAGCACCCGAAACATCGGGATAATAATAAAAATAAATTAAAGGAATTAAACGCGATAAAATCCGTAAATAATAGTTTTATTCAAAATCACACCTTATCGCTACATGCACTAGTGTAATTATTCCTTTGTGCTACTTTTTATTTGAAACTTACCTTTGCCACTCAACATTAAGATTATTAAAAAAATTAATCTTTTTAGTGAGATCTCTTAAGTACACATTGTAGATATAATGTGTACTTTACTTTGTTACTAATGCTAATCAATGTTTTATTTTAGAATTTGTTATATTTTTAGTAAAGTACATATAAAGAAATCTTGGTAATGAAAAAAAATCTGCACGGGTCATCTCTGGCCACAGTTTTCCATTTACGTCCCAGTCTGCCGACACCTCTTGATAACTCAGTGTACCGCAGATTTTGATACTTGCAATGTTTGGGTCACATAATATTTTTAGGGCTGCCCAAATTGAGTGGCATTCTCAGTTTATTTGCAGTAACATTCACACTTAACATGATAAACAAGGAAGTCAAGATAAGCTTTTAATAAATTTTTTAGCTTTTGATAAATTTTTTCAAAGTGTTTTTATTACACCATCATCAAATAGCCAAACTCAACCTCGTCACGCTTCTGAGTACTCCAGTACGGAGTCATTATCCCGCATACATATTACTCGAGAAATAGTTCTTAAATTCCTAAAATCACTTGATAAATCTAAGGAACCTGGAACCGATGGTATTCCTCCTATTGTATTGATTTCACGCGCTGATAGCTTGTCATTGCCTATTACAATTTTGTTTTGTCGTTCTCTCGACATTTATTTTCCCCGATTTATTGAAAAAAGCAAATATAATTCCCATACATAAAAAAGGACCTAAAACCTCAATTGAAAATTACCGTCCGATATCGGTTTTGAACACTATCAGTAAGCTTTTTGAAAAAATCGTTTACAGCTTCATCTCTCCCATTAAAATCCGTGGTATTCCTGATACACGGCATGGGTTCATAAAAGGAAGGTCTACGGCATCGAATTTATCTCTATTCTCAAGTTATGTCCTCCTGCATATGGAGAATGGTGGTCAGGTGGACGTGGTCTACACTGATTTCGAAAAAGCTTTCGATCGTGTAGACCACGATCTCTTGCTCCACAAGCACTATTTGCTTGGAATTCAAGGAGACCTACTCCGCTAGGCGTGCTCCTATCTTTCCAATCGTTCTCAAGCTGTGGTGCTGGGCGACTATGTAACTGTTCCCTCGGGTGTCCCTCAGGGATCACACCTTGGCCCGCTATTCTACAATGCGTACGTCTTTGACATTGCCAACTGTTTTTCTTATTATAATCACCTATTATATGCAGACGATAAAAAAATATATCGGGCAGTTCATTCTGTTGAAGATTGTAGATTGTTACAATACGATTTGGATAAACTGTTTTCTTATTATCAACAAAATAAGATCTTCGTCAACATTAAAAAATGTCAGTGTATAAGCTTTACGCGCAAGAAAAGTACAATTGTTGATGTTTTGACTGCATTATTGAAAAACAAATAATAATTAATCGAAACAACGACAGCTCAACTAGTTGTACTGAAAGTTATTGAACAAATTTATTTTTAATCTAGTTTTAATCTTAAATTTTTATAATTGTGCCTCTAGAAAAAGCAGTAACAACAAACACGTACAAACTGATAAATCTTGTGTTTTAAATTGTCCGTTTTTAAGTTATTCTGGTATTATTCAAATCAAACTGTACTGTAAATGATTACCAACTCTAAATAATCGATATCGATTTTTTTAAGATTCGAATATCGTACGTTCCCATTTTTTGATTGGCATGCCTGGTGCAATAAGTCTGACAGATGTCAAAATATATTTCTTAGATTTGGTTGACTATAGTATATGTATATACTTGCCTATATGTATAAGTGTTTAATTATAATATGTATATGTGTATATGTGGGTGCTTACATATGTTAATATTATCCCATTGAAGCATAAATAATTTCCTAGGCCAGCCATGACAAACTTTTTAAATTAAGTATTGTTTTTGATCAAAGGTTTTATTTTTTTTTCTTTTCAACTTTTCATACTTCTGATTTATGCTAAATTGTGGAAAGTGGATGACTATTATTGGCCCTATGTAAAACATATTATATAAGATTTTTTCCCCAGAGTGAAGGCTGTTGTTATCCCTAATAAAAAAAATCTAACAACTCAAATTCAAAAGTTGGCATGTTGTTGTTGTTGGTTGGATTTTCGCAGTATGAAACAACGAAATATTATGCAATAATTACATAAAAACAAATTAAATTCGAAAAAAAACTTTCCAAAACTTTTTAAAGTATTTACTGTTAATGTATTTGTTTAAGCTATTACTGTTTGTTAGCAGTATTCATGTAGTATGTATAATTACAAGTTACAACATAAGAAACTAAACTTTTTTTAGCATTCCTCTGAATTTGTCCGTGAGTTTATTGGACAAGTAAAATGAACTTGTAACTTTTTATTTATACGATTTGTATTTAACATGAAAGTTATTTCACTTACCTGTTTCAAAGTGCCACCAACTAAAAATGACTCCACATTGACTCCATTCTGAATATAGTTGTCCTGATTATCTAAATCATAAAATATAAATATAAGTGCCGAAATACTAAAATGTGTTTAATACATTTTATAAGACGAAGGCAATTTAACTTATCACTAGAGCCATGCATTCCTTCAAAATCCTGTATACATTGTAGACTTATACTTCAACACAAAACTAGGCATGAGAAAAGACAGTGAGATGCACATAGGATAATTTGGAATAGGGCAATGAAACCTAAGACTAGCTGAAGTCATGGCTAAGGATGGACACCTAATGATAAACTGTTTGTTCCAGGAGAAAGGACCAGATCTGGACATGACAATTTAACAAAATATGATTGACTTCATTACGACAACCAAATAACAATAATTCAATGATGTCTCAGTGATTGAAAAGGTGAAAATTACCACCACTCACAGAATAGTTAGAAGTAAAATAAACCTTAATGTTTGAAAGGTCACATCTAATGTAGTTAACACGTTAAGTGCGTTACCGGACGCATATAGCCGGTAATGTACCCTCCCGCGGTGCGAGCGCCAAAAACTAGTTTTTCTCGCTCGTGCGGCGTCATTTTAGGTATGATATTCTGTGAGTTAAAAGGGACAAATAAATATCATTGCTTCTTACTTACAGACGGTCTTATTACAATAGAAAAAAGGTACATAGCATATTTGACCTGTACGCATAGAACGAAAAAACAGTGCATTCCATGCGTTACCGGACGAATACGACTTATATGTGCAAGTCCGGTATCGCACTGTTGGCGAGGGCGTATGCATTAGTGAGAAACTGATCTTATTAGCGTTTAGACGTTTGTCGACATTTGTTATATTTTCCCGCCCTTTATTTACGTAATAGTTACGACTTCAAATTTGCAATGAAGCGCTCCTGAAAAATATTAGCTCGTATTTCGAAGAAAAAGAAGAAAATTAATTTGACCAACGACACAAGCAAAAATCAAAAGATTTTCCCTCCTGGTAAGAAAATCAAAGTTTTAGAAGATATAAAGATTCCATCACGTTCAGTTAAAACTACATCACCTGGGCCACATACTTTAATTTGCCAGTCAACTACAAGCAAAATAATTAATCCAGGAAAGAATACATATGAAAGTCTTTCTACTAGCAATAAATATGCAACATTACAGAATGTCTCTTTTCCTGGGAGTTCGAGTGAAGCTGGCTCACTTAGTGACTTATCGTATAATAATTTTTAAAAATTGATTGCAACCTGACACCAGAATCTATAAAAGAATTATTGTCTACGCCAAAGTCAAATAAACAGCAAACTTTAGACACCCATCATAAAAATAGTGACCCTAAACAACAAACCCTGGAGGATAGTAAGATTAAGATATGCACAATAACTTCCAAAGATTTGATTCAAGAAAATAGTTATGCAGTTAATACTTCACAAGCAATAGACTTATCATTACCAGCTACTAGCGCAACGGATGCAATATCTCATCACCTAGAACCCAATCAGCATGTAAACGAAGACCCACAGAATTTTAGCGATATAAGTACAGACAGTGACAGCAATTATGTACCATCTAGTTCAGAAAGTTCTTCAAGTGATACGGAGACGGTATTCACGGCTGACGATGAAAATACTGTAGATATTCCGTTGATTACACAACAAGATAGCGAATTGGTAGATATTACTTCTTCTATGCCTAATATTGGTAATTTTAAAAATGATACTGTAATAAACATTCCTCCCGATGTAACATCGCCATTTCATATCTATAAGTTATTTGTTACTGATGACATCATACATAAAATGGTAGCAGAGACAAATAATTACGCAAATAATTGCCGTTTTAATGAAAGTGTCAAAAATAAGTCTAGGTTGAAAAAGTGGCAAGACACCAATTTCGAGGAAATGTGCACTTTTATGGGTATCTTGATGACAATGGGAGTTGTCAAACTGCCAAGCTTAAGTCACTATTGGTCGAAAAAGACATGTTATAAAAACATATATATTCAATAATTAATGACGCGAGATAAATTCTTATTGCTATTAAAATGTTGACATTTCAGTAATGATACAATTGATCCAACGGACCAATTAGGCAAAGTTCGTGATGTTCTGAGTATGATTTTGAGCAAATTTAGTGAAATTTTAATACCCGGTCAGTATTTGGTTATTAACGAATCAATGATTCCATGGCGAGGACGATTGAAATTTCGACAATATATAAAAAACAAAAGCCATAAATACGGAATAAAACTATATAAATTATGTACACCTGAAGGGTATACACGGTCCGCAATTGTTTATACAGGTAAAAGTGACAGACCGGGAAACCAGCTACATGGCCATGATATCGTCCTAAAACTAATAAAAGACTTAGGTGGAAGCGGTAGAACAGTTATAGCTGATAATTTTTATACCTCTGTGGGTTTAGCAGAAGATTTATTAAAGAAAAAAACTGAACTGTGTGGAACAATAAGAATAAATAGAAAAGGCCTACCTAAAAATGTTATATCTACTAAGCTGAAAAGAGGAATGTGTATGGGTAAAATGAATAAAAACGGAGTTAAAATAATTAAATGGCATGATAAACGGGCTGTCACAATGATAACAACGTGCAAAAATCACGTTGCAGCTGTTAAAGACATCGGCAAAAAAACACGAAATGGTGAGATAATTTACAAGCCAGAATGTGTATCTTTATATAATTTAAATAAGAAAGGCGTTGATTATAGCGACCAAATGACGGCATATTATTCATCATTGAGAAGAGGGATCAAATGGTACCGAAAACTTATGATGAGTTTTCTTTTTGGTACCTGTGTTGTTAATGCGTGGATCATTCATAATAATATAACTAACAAAAAAGGAAAATTGATAGATTTTGTTGAATCTGTTATACAAAACTTTACTGGTCTTACATTTTGCGACGATATAAAGTCCTCAGAAAAGAAGAAGTACCATACCTTAGAAAAAACTACAAAAAGAAAACAATGTACACTTTGCTATCAAGAATTACGAAAAACAATGAATAGCCAGGAAGCTGACAAAAAGGTGCCAAAAGTTAAATTGATGTGTATTGAATGTAAAAAAGTTTTTTGTCTTCCTTGTTTCAATAAAGCTCATGAAAATAATGCTTAGTTTCTTAATAAACGAAAATTTTATCGATAAATATTTGTTTTCTTATTTAACATCACTACTGTTTATCGACTATTTGAACATTTTCACCACTTCTTGTGCGCCACATGACATATAAGTCCGGTTAGACTTTTATACCTATAAGTAAAAAAATACTTGTCCAATTCTAGAACCAAGAGATATTTTTAGATATTGATCAAAGATAAAGAATTGCTAGATAGTAAAAAACAATATGAGAAATACAAGTTTTAAAAAGAGTTGTGTACCAGTCATATTTGTCTTGTTTCGCACTAGAAAAATTAACAGTACATGGCAATATTGTCCTGTACCGCACCAGAGTGGAATATTATGTTTTTGAGCTACGCAGTAAAAGTGTTAATGCTCAAACTCTAATTTAGAGCCTAAAAACTTTCAGCTCAAATTCCTTTCAGTGCCTAGAAGATTGCTACAGTGGACATAATAACAGGATAAGCTTGTGGAAACTGTCTTTGCAGTCAAAGCTAAGTAAGTCTTGCTAGACCTATTGCAGAAAAACCCAAAAACTCCAATTTTAATCTCATGGCTGTTAAATCTGAAGTGAAACTGCAGTCTTGATCAACAGATATATCAAATGTTACAATATACAGACAATTCTACAGACACATACCCAAATATATGCAATGAGATAATAAAGCTATTGAGCAAAGCTAAGCTAAATCCTCGCCAGAGTCTGAGGACCGAAGATTTTAAAAGTTTTTGAGAGTAGCACTTGACAGTGTGCGAAATGGGGTAAGGGAAAAAGGGTACCTAAGTTCCAAATCATTCTTAACTTTAAATGTCGCTCACTAACCTCCACTTTTACTGGTGAAGCCACTGCAATCAGTGAAGCTTTGTTATATGTCAAGTCACATAATCTTAATAAAACAGTTATTTTCACTGATTCAAAAAGTTCTTGTTAACTATTTTGTCCAATTAATTCTATAACAAACATAAATTTCCACTAAGTCTCAAAATAAAAAAATACCCTATACAGAGGTTATCTCAAAGGAATCCATGTTTTAGTAGCCTAGGTACCTGGCCACAGTGGTATCTACAGAAATGAAATAGCTGATGTACTAGCTAAAAAAGCGATTGCAAATGGTATTCTGCAAATTTTATTTAATCACATGACCTAATTTTGCTAGTTAAAAGGAAACTGAATGAAAATTGAAATAAACTGTGGGAAGTATCCAAAAATGTTAAGGGTAAATTTTACCAAATCTCCACAAAAAGAAATAGAAATCTGGTTAGTTTATAGACATCAAGTACTGGCGTACGTGGTGGGAGTGGGAGGGGGGAGGTGATTTGCGGAAATGTATAGTTTATGTGTAATATTTTTTTTTGTAAAATCATAACCTCACTTTTTTACACAGAAATATTGACACAATGTTACTTCTGAAGGAAGTGCAGCCCCTTCGCCCTTGCGTAGCAAATCACAGGCACCCATGCTCGCATCCGCAGCTTCGGTTTATTTGTCCACCCTCAACTGCTACGGCTCACTCAGGGCCTACAATTTGCTACAGCGGGCGGGGGCTGCTCTCCCTCCGCACCTATGGCTTTACAAAAACAGTCTAGGGGTAGGGCAGACAAGACTATGTGAAGTCTGCTAATTCAGTTTAAGATCCAATTCCACCAATCCACTACCAGCGGTACAACAGTCTGTAAGTCGGTTAGCTAGAGTGCAGTAGGCAGTTCCTTTCTGAGTGTATCATGTGAACGCGCATCTCTGTTGTAGAAAGTAAATTAACTACAACGGATGAGAACAATTACTTCAATCCCTCCCTACACAAGCCCCTAAGATACACTAGCCACCAAACATACACAACAGATGGAATGCCTTATCTCCAGTAAAAATGGTCTCCGGCTCTCTACATTCACCATACGAAACACTGCAGC